ATAACTCTAGTTTATAGGCTTTAATCCAGAAAATATCTATGTTACAATTTCTAGTCCCCTAAAAGCTCTGTCTTGTTTGCTGTATTCTAAAAAAAACTTTAATACAGGCAAAGACTATGTTACAGGCTGTATCCTAAAACAACACTAAAGTTACTGATAGCTTCCTTAATTACACTCGTTAAAATCACCTGATACAACCCGTACTATTAACTCGCTGAAAAAATGCAAGTAAAATTTTTCGATATTTTTTTAGTAATAAAAAAAATAATAAAATATATTTGTGATTTTATTTATCAATTTGCATGAAAAATATTATGATAGTGATGGTCACAGTTAGTATGGCATTATTCATTATTGTTCTATCTAAATGAGAAAAAAAATAGGGATTGAGTTAATGTAGCAGAATATATGTAATAATGTAGGGAAGAGGGGGACAATAAACCCATTAAAACCGGTGGGAAATGTTACTGTTGGTTTTGTTGTCACGGTTAATAGCGTCCATTATTTCCGGATTGATGGTGTTGCCCTGGGATCACCCCCGAGGCCTCGTATTTGCCAATGGTCGTCTATGTCCATTCAGAAAAGTTACGGTCGGACAACTGCCCCGTATCTCTCAGCCGCGCGTGTGTCCCCCTCATGTACTTTAGTGAGTTTTTTGTTGTCTTTAGCCCTTTAACGACGGTAATTTTATCCCCCCATGAGGATTATTGGTTAGAGAATGGTCCTGAAAAAGGGGATCAAGCTTAATTTATCACCTTCAAAGATTTATAACTTAAACCATCTTTCTCATTGGGTTATTATTTGTCCTATATTGCTCCTAAGATGTTATAGCCAAAGGGTTATGACCTTAAATCATCGTCCTTAAAGTGTCAAAGCTTAAACCATCGTCTTCAGAGGGTTAATTCACAACTAGGAGAGAAAGACGGAGTGAACGGGTAACAACCTTTCACATAATTATTACAAACTACAATACAAAATTTCGTCCAGGTGTTTCAAGATTTAAATGTTAATAGTATAGTTATTGGAGCTATACTTAATCTAACTTTCTTTATTATTACCAGGAGATTATATATTTTTACATTGTTACTTCTCCTTATGGATTTATATAGGTTTGTTTTAGTGTGGCCGAGTATGTACAGCATTCGTCCCCTGTCCTAAAGTTCACTGGTTCACGCCCTTGGTAACCCTCAGCCCTCCCTGCCGTGAATAGGTGCCTAACTTTACAACTGGGGAGATAAAGTCAATTTTCTAAGTTAAATGTAGAGAAACTTCACAGTATAACAGTATAATATTGTTATGAGAGTTTAATCTATTCACATTCTTATTGATGTTAGTGTTCGTACGAAAGTTTTTTTTTTCTACTATAAAAATCTAAAACATTTACAAGGAGTCAATAATCTGTGTATCTTTTTCATCTGTGAGCATCATGAGTCAGCTGAAGGAGGTGTGTGAAGGCGACGTCCTCCTGGTCAACATCACCTTCACAACGATTTATCTTCCTCTATCTTGATAACACAAACTGATATGTACACAGGTAAAAAAAACTATATGTTGGCTTGCAATATTTTTCTTCCTTTAAACTAAAAAAAATGGTAGTGTGTCGCTGCCGGGTGGATCATCAACAAACATGTTTTTGTTTACCTATGCGAGCTGTGTTTACTTTGTTTTTGTTTACAGTGAAGGAAAGATAAAACAAAAGGGTAGTGTTAGGAGGCCGGGTGTACCGTGTGGGTTATTGGATCAGTGACCTCCACCAGCCACCAAACGTCACAGTTGACCAGATGGAAGTGTAGCTCACGTGCTGCTCTCTCTCTCCCTTACCATTAATATTGTTTTGTTTATCTTTGTTTTCCTGCAGCAGCGGCGAGCAGCTGGCCAGAATCAATAGAAGCTTTAACGGAAATAAAAATATAATACAAAAACTAAAAATAAAAATTAAACTATTAAAACTGTGATGGAATGTGACTTGTTTTGTTTATTTGTTAATAGCTCTTGTTATTATTGTTGAAGCTTTTGTTATTATTATGGCGCTGTGACACACCTGGGTCACTTAACCTTGTGTAATACTGGTCACGTTATCACCACAGTCTTGTTATGGTGTTCTCTGGTTCCATATATATACTGTATATATATATATATATATATATATATATATATATATATATATATATATATATATATATATATATATATATATATATATATATATATATATATATATATATATATATATATAAGTTTAGTCGTGTTCTATTGTTCTTTCACACAACACATAATGATCAACCAATTATTCATTATCTATTTTTTCTGCTGTACAGAAAATTAAACATTGTGGTCATATTTTAATGTTCTTTTATTCTTAGCACACGACATCGTAAATGTCTGTACTGTATGTGTAGCTAAAAGAACTTTACTTAAGAACAGTTGAACATATTTATCTCTGAACCCAAAACAGAATAAAAAACAAAGATGTCATATTTATTAGTCAGATTAAAGTTATAATACAAAGTTAAACTCGTCTCTATCTTGGCAGTAATAAGTTGGTGGTCAATAACAAGGGCGGTTGGCTCAGGTGTTTTTATTATGTCATTTGTTTACAAGGTGATTTAATTGCATTTTGTTGCGTGATTTTGACACATATTGAAATCAAACGTCAATTTACCCCCAAAGTAATTAAATTTTAAACCGAACTGGGAAATATTGCACGCGTGTGTGTGTGTGTGTGTGTGTGTGTGTGTGTGTGTGTGTGTCTCAACTATTTAATTATGTACTAAACCATAACAATGCTAATGCTCTCTCTCTCTCTCTCTCTCTCTCTCTCTCTCTCTCTCTCTCTCTCTCTCTCTCTCTCTCTCTCTCATACACAGGTAACCACAGTAATACCAAGTCCCTCCCTACACTAGCCAAGCTTAAAGACAGTCCTATTAACTAATCAACTAATATAATCTTCTTTAATAATTATCATACTCCAAATTGCTCCAACTAATCACATGACAATTTTCAATACTTTCATAAAAATTCCGTTTGTGAAAAGCAATATTCACAAAATAATATTAAATAACATTATTAATAACTTCTAATAAACTTTGTCTTAATACGTAATAAAATCACATCCTGTTATCAAGCTTAATATTAGTTAAAGGCGTTTCCTCACAAATCCCGTATAATTTTCCCTATAAGTCATTTTTTAGCTAATAATAAGTAATCATGAACAAATTACGGTATTTTTGTGTTGTTAATTGACCTAACCTGACCTGACGTGACCTGACCTGACCTGACCTGACCTGACCTAACCTAACCTAAAAAAAGAATTCTAGTGATAATGGTAGAAAAAAAATCCGAAATATCTATTGGGATAAAAACGAATATTAACCTATATAACTATTAATAAACACCGAGCAAATTATATTAGAGAACGGGTTATGATCAGGTTCCAAATACCTGTAACTAACCTGGCCGGTGATTATAGGGAGATTTCAGCATAACTTACGATGCAATTACTGAATTAATCTGAAACAATAACGAACATGTGGTGGCTAAATCCAAATAATCATATGAGGAGACGAAATTCATAGGGAAATCTCATAATCTAACGTTCTGGTACACTCCTCACCTCACCTCACCTCACCTGCTGCTATTGTAGGTGAGGTGCTGTAGTGTTTCAAGATGGACACGTAAGACTGCAAAGGGCGTTAATTATATAGCAGTGAAGTCCTCTAGTACCGGAAGAAGCTCGCTCTCTCTCTCTCTCTCTCTCTCTACTCCAAGACGCCAGACATATATTCTACCCCACTTGTTACATTTTCCGCCGCGTTACACAAACTCTAACACGACGGGAGAAGATGTGGGGGAAGCTATGTTACTATGATCTATATTCACAGTGACAATTCCATCTCTTTATGTAGTAGTTTGGTGAAAAGTTTGATAAATATAAATATATATATATATATATATATATATATATATAGATATATATATATATATACATATATATATATATATATATATATATATATATATATATATATATATATATATATATATATATATATATATATATATATATATATATATATATATATATATTTTTTTTTTTTTTTCTTTTTACTATATGCTGTCATTAATAAGTTATTTGAGAAAAGGTAATTAGGATATTTCACCTGGTTTACCTTTAATCATCACCAATAAGTAGAAAATAACAAATAATTAATACTCCAATTAACACTAACAATTATTATGACTATCATTTCATATTTGTGTTCATATTAATTTCTATGAAATGCATTTTCATGTATATAGAATCCCTAAGTTGCAGACCTGGCAAGTTAGGTTAGGTTAGGTTAGGTTAGGCTAGGCTAGGTTAAGTTAGGTTAAGTTAGGTTAGAGAGTAGCATCAACTTATTAGATATTAATGAATGTGAACGTTAATGCTAGTCTTGCAACACCTAGTTTAGAATCGGTCGGTAACTTTCTTCTAAAATGAAGTAGCCAACATTTCTTATTGAGGATAAATATGGTGGACACATTTGGCTGACAGAACCTGACAGTTGACAATAATATAACACAAGATCTGACTGCTGACAATAATAAAAAAATGGACCTCACAGCTGACAATAATACAACAAAGGACCTCACAGGTGACAATAATACAACAAAGGACCTCACAGGTGACAATAATATAACAAAGGACCTCACAGGTGACAATAATACAAAAAAGGACCTCACAGGTGACAATAATACAACAAAGGACCTCACAGGTGACAATAATACAACAAAGGACCTCACAGGTGACAATAATACAACAAAGGACCTCACAGGTGACAATAATATAACAAAGGACCTCACAGGTGACAATAATACAACAAAGGACCTCACAGGTGACAATAATACAACAAAGGGGACCTCACAGGTGACAATAATACAACAAAGGACCTCACAGGTGACAATAATAACAAAGGACCTCTGGTGACAAGGACCTCACAGGTGAATAATAAACAAAGGACCTCACAGGTGACAATAATACAACAAAGGACCTCACAGGTGACAATAATACAACAAAGGACCTCACAGGTGACAATAATACAACAAAGGACCTCACAGGTGACAATAATACAACAAAGGACCTCACAGGTGACAATAATACAACAAAGGACCTCACAGGTGACAATAATACAACAAAGGACCTCACAGGTGACAATAATACAACAAAGGACCTCACAGGTGACAATAATACAACAAAGGACCTCACAGGTGACAATAATACAACAAAGGACCTCACAGGTGACAATAATACAACAAAGGACCTCACAGGTGACAATAATACAACAAAGGACCTCACATGTGACAATAATACAACAAAGGACCTCACAGGTGACAATAATACAACAAAGAACCTCACTGCTGACAATAATACAACAAAGGACCTCGCAGGTGACAATAATACAACAAAGGACCTCACAGGCGACAATAATACAACAAAGGACCTCACAGGTGACAATAATACAACAAAGGACCTCACAGCTGACAATACTACAACAAAGGACCTCACAGGTGACAATAATACAACAAAGAACCTCACTGCTGACAATAATACAACAAAGGACCTCACAGAAGACCTCAAGGTGACAATAATACAACAAAAGGACCTCACAGGTGACAATAATACAACAAAGGACCTCACAGCTGACAATAATACAACAAAGGACCTCACAGGTGACAATAATACAACAAAGGACCTCACAGGTGACAATAATACAACAAAGAACCTCACTGCTGACAATAATACAACAAAGGACCTCACAGGTCACAATAATACAACAAAGGACCTCACAGGTGACAATAATACAACAAAGGACCTCACAGGTGACAATAATACAACAAAGGACCTCACAGGTGACAATAATACAACAAAGAACCTCACTGCTGACAATAATACAACAAAGGACCTCGCAGGTGACAATAATACAACAAAGGACCTCACAGACAATAATACAACAAAGGACCTCACAGGTGACAATAATACAACAAAGGACCTCACAGCTGACAATAATACAACAAAGGACCTCACAGGTGACAATAATACAACAAAGGACCTCACAGCTGACAATAATACAACAAAGGACCTCACAGCTGACAATAATACAACAAAGGACCTCACAGGTGACAATAATACAACAAAGGACCTTACAGGTGACAATAATACAACAAAGGACCTCACTGCTGACAATAATACAACAAAGGACCTTACAGGTGACAATAATACAACAAAGGACCTCACAGGTGACAATAATACAACAAAGGACCTCACAGGTGACAATAATACAACAAAGGACCTCACAGGTGACAATAATACAACAAAGGACCTTACAGGTGACAATAATACAACAAAGGACCTTACAGGTGACAATAATACAACAAAGGACCTCACAGGTGACAATAATACAACAAAGGACCTCACTGCTGACATTATAAAACTCATAATTCAGGTACACACAGGTAACGAACTACACTTTTTGGATGCATGCATATATTAACGAAATACACACACAAGCGCGCGCACACACACACACACACACACACACACACACACACATACATACATACATACATACTTACATACATACATACATACATACATACATACATACATACATACATACATATACAATATTTCACTCTGTAAATCGTACGAATGTTTGTAATGGTTCAACTGCGGCCATCAGTCAGGATCATCGTGCCTTGGTGATCAAATATGGATCGTATTCCATTGTGGGTTTTCCATCCGGTGTCGTGGTGATGTAAAAAACTCCCCCTTACATTCTTATATACCATCGTGTAAAAAGTTAATTAATTTTGTTATTGGATTTTTTTTTGTGTGTGTGCTTTGGGTTTGTGTTAGTGTGAGTGTGAGTCTGTCTGTCTGGCTGGCTGTCTGTCTGTCTCTCTGTCTCTCTGTCTCTTTCCCTATCTCTGTCTCTCTTATCTCTCTCCTCCAGTAGTTTCAACAATATCCTGGGTAAACACACACACTCTGAAAGTCAAACACACAACGTAAATTAAGTTGTTCATCACATCATTCTTTTGTTATACCAGAGAACAGAAAATGTGGTTGGTGAAAGACAGTGAGAGATGGAGGCACAGTGAGAGATAGAAGCTCAGTGGTAATGGTATTGTGAGAGATAGAGATACAGTAAATTAGGAGACAGATGTAGACTGAGACGGAGAGATACATTTAGAGATGAATAGATGGATGGATGAATAGTGAATAATAGACAGAGAAGTAGATAGATAACACTCATGAACTGGTAGGTAAGACTCTGGGAGGCTGGAACACCAACGTCTCGGTGTTCTTGAGTGACCTTAGGCTACAGACTCACTGGACACTCAATGGCATCCAGACGGAGGAATACCTGATGTATACCTGGTCGACCTTTCTCACCTGAGGAGCTCGATGGATTCATTAAATTGGGATATTCTAGGTTAAATTTAATTTACCTGTGTATCTTATTATTATTCGTCTCGCCATTGAAATTTAGAGAGATAGAGAGACAGACAAAAGACAGACAAACACAAAAGAGAATTAAATAAACTAAGATATATAAATACTGAGAGGGTTTGGAGGAAATAAATAAGAGAGAGAGAGAGAGAGAGAGAGAGAGAGAGAGAGAGAGAGAGAGAGAGACTACAAGTATCAGCTGACGTCATATTCTATAATGGTAGAATATTAAGTTACCCCTCCAGGCCTCCACAACGGCTCAGCTGTGGCCCATATTATTACTGTCACCATGACTGACAGGGAGGAGACGGGGAGGAGGGGTAGATGGGGAGAGGAAAAGGGAAGGAGTAGGAGACGGAGAGAGGAGCAGACGGGAGGAGGAAGAGACAGGGAGGAGAAGACGGGAAGGAAGAGGAGACAGGGAGGAAGAGGAGACAGGGGGAAGAGGAGATAGGTAGGAAGAGGAAACAGAGAGGAAGAGGAGACAGGGGGAAACAAATATGGAGGAGAAGAAGGTATTTTATAACTGTAAACAAATATGTGAAAAAAATACGATAAAAACATAAAAAAAGACAAAATGCAATAAGAGCCGCTATGGAAGACAAAGACAATCCATGTAAAAAAAAAAAGACAAAATTGCCAATTATTATATAAAGTTAACAGTAAAAGAACAAGCTGTATTGTAACTCCAGTATAACTCCGATAGCTAACTCACGAACCAATCAAAATGCTCCAGGAAAAAAACTTCGGAATTTGTGATTGGTTCGTTAGCTTCCCAGGCGAGACTATGAAATGTTCAGCCTTGTTAATAATGATAGCTGTCCAATTACTGTAATGGGAAACTCTGGACTCATGTTGATTAAATTTATATACTCCTTTAATTAGCACCATCAGGATATATCGTAGATGGGACTGAATAAATTACTATATATATATTATTCATTAATTAGTTCCTTTGATATATTCTTAAAACTTTATTCAATCTGTATGTTTATATTTCTTAAGTCAACGTGATGGTATTAAATCACCTGACGTCTAATGAGATCAGGTAATATTATAATTGTTACTATACCTTAAACTATCACGAACATGTTATGGTTGGTTGGTAGGAGAGCGTCGTTCGCATCCTGGGTAACTCACTGCAGTATTGATTTTGTCACCTAATCATATGAATTATTTTCTTATATTCTATAATCAATAACAATTACTGTATCAGATGTATGAGTCAAACCGACTTTATCTTCGCTAATAATACTTGCAATTTTATATATATATATTTGTTGTATTTAAATTTTGCATATACATTTTACCTGTAAGTATGAACTTATCTACTCTCGATATATTTTTTTACTTACGATTTAAGTGAACATTTACGACTTGGCTAAAGCGTCAATTTTTTTTCGACGATTACTTGGGGTAATAATAATGAAATAAATATAAGTAAATTTAAAGATGATAATAATAATAATAATAATAATAATAATAATAATAATAATAATAATAATAATAATAATAATAATAATAATAATAATAATAATAATAATAATAATAGTAATAATAATAATAATAATAATAATACAATCGAATATCACATTACCTCACACAGTTATCACAGCCACACTATTGTTTACACTTAAGAGGAAGACGTCACCAGCGCCAGAGAACTTGTGAAGCACAGTATGAAACACCCTCACTTAACTTCTTATGCCATGACTCACACAGCCTCTAAGATCGGCCGTATTGAGAAGTATGACACTATATCACTTAAAATATGACAAGATAACAATCAACGCCTTACAGACAATAAACAACAGATTTTTAAAGTTACTTCGAGATAACATTATCAGTACAATCTTTGGGGGTAGTGTAGCTGAAAGGCCATTACTAAGAGACCGTCGAACATATTATATAACCCTTCAATACATAATGTAAAGCCAATAGTGAAATATTCCACAATATATACAGTGAGTTAATGGTGTTATCTCTCAAGCCACTGTACACCTCCATCACACACACACACACCGCTGCATACTTTCCTCCTCCTCAACCTCTTGTGTTAAGTATGAGTTTGCTTGGGTCATAAACACCTAAATATGATCTAGTATAACGCACCTTATATACACATCAAGTATAAGTGTATTCGGGTCATAAATGTATTCCATTTTTCATTTTAAACTTTTTTAGACTCTCTCTCTCTCTCTCTCTCATTAATGTTTCATAATATAACTCTTCCCCTTAATTCATTTATCTATTCTTATTTACTGTCAATATTATCCCCTCTCCCTGTTCCTGCCTGAGTGAGGAACAAGAGTCTATAGAGGTAAGACCTCTCTCATCCTAATGTTTATCATCATCACACACACACACACACACACACACACACACACACACACACACACACACACACACACACACACCATTGTAAAAATTATCAATAACTTGTAATAAACCAGTGTATTCACTTCCAGTAAATCCTACTTCTTGCACTGTTATTATGTTGAAATGCCCTGTAGTTTGAGCTTTTCCCCCAACTAGTTATTATGTATCTTATGTGTATCACTTATGTTATTTGTATATTATTTGTAAATCGAAACCCATTCCCCAATTATGTAACTGTATATTTTCAGAATTCTGGCTGCTATGCTCTTTCAATAAACCGTTAATTGTAAACACACACACACACACACACACACACACACACACACACACACACACACACTGCTTTGCAAACATAGAATCACAGAAATAAACAAATCTAATCCCCTTAGGTTTAAACTGCAGACAGTGACATTTCACTACCCTTCTCTTACCCCTCCTACCATTCTTTCTATGCCCATCCTCTACCCTCCTTCCTTCACCACTCCCATCCCATTCCTCTCCCTCCCCTTCCCTACAACCCCCCTCCCCGTATTACTCCCCCTCCCCCTACCACTCCCCCAACCCTCTTACCCTTCCCACTACCACATCCACCTCCCCCTTCCCCTTCCGTAACTCCACAGTCATACATTTACACGAGTAAAAAATCGCTTTCAAACATCTGGCTCTTATTTTTGTCCTCTTGTGTCAGAGTTCGCCGAATTACTGGAATAATATTGTACCTTGTTTACACTTCTGTGAAATTGGAAGTAATAGTGGCAGTTTGTTTCCGTTGTGTGTGTGTGTGTGTGTGTGTGTGTGTGTGTGTGTGTGTGTGTGTGTGTGTGTGTGTGTGTATTTATATATATGCATACCTGTGTGTTGTGTTTGTTTGTGCGAATGTGTATATGCAGCATACATGAGTGTTTGGGTGTGTACATGAGATAACACAATCATGCTCAGTGGCCACCTCCTGGTACAGTACATTTTACCACCCACTCCTCGAGGTAAACACTACTTTGTCAAGACTACCGAGCCATAGTAGATAAGTCAACATAACAGAATTGAACTCCCTTAGCTGGACGTTTTCTCTTGATACGTCATTAATTACGTCACAACCACTTTCATGACGTCATTATGCAAAATTTTTGGATTATGTAAATATTATGTGTGTGTGTGTGTGGTGAGACGACCACTAGTCAGGTCGTGATGCTGCCCTCTACGACAATGGTGTGTTATCTTTAAGGTGATTATATGCAGTAAATATCATTTATTAGGTAACAGTGTGCCATTATGGGTGTCAGCTCCAACACATTAGTGGATTACGACATTTGGTAATTGTATTATCGTGTAATGGCTTCTGTGTTATTCCGAGCTGCCAAATGTATCTGAATATAACGGAAACAATAATTAATACGAAGGTGGTAATGTTAAGTGTCGTGATCTTGGTATACGACAATAATTTGGTAACTCGAGGTATTGATTCACTCTAATACAGGTCGAGAAGTTGTGCTTGTGATTTTCAAAGATTAATTCTCATGGTGTATTTGATGCCATACCAAGGTTGACGGAAACGATGGTCATGTTGTATCTGGATGCCAACAAGCACTACTACCCTACTACTTGTACTCTGGTTAATCGAGGCGATAATTAAACAATACCATCATCAGTCGAGGCAGTCATCAGTCAAGAAAGTCATCAGTCAAAACAGTCATTAGTTAAGAGGGCGAAACATTACCTGACCCTGGATGATAACACGCTCTGTACACCATAAAGAGCGCGGGACCATTACACGTCTTATATTTCCTCAGGAGGCAAGCATGGGACCACCTTGTTTCAGTCGTTCTGTGGGTTGACATAGGACCACACACACACGGCTCGTTTATGTGACCCTGGAGGCGAGCTTGCGACCACACACGCCTCGTTTTATTCATCGTAAGAGCTTTTGTGAATCTGGACCCTGGCATCCCTTGCTATCTCAACCCCCCAGCGTTACATTACTCTACCTAGTTCGTTCAATACATCCTTCTCCCCACTTATAGTTTTTTCCTGATATCCTCCGACCCTTCCTACTTGTACTAATTTGTCAGATGTGTGTGTATTACTCTCTCTCTCTCTCTCTCTCTCTCTCTCTCTCTCTCTCTCTCTCTCTCTCTCTCTCTTTGTCATCATGTACGTCACTTAGTTTATACGCCCTTACTCTCTTCTTTCCAAGTATTACCTATATTTCATATACTTATCTCTTACGTTATTTCCTACTTTTAACTGTGTCTCTAGCAGTAAGTGAAGCCCAGATGATGTATGATCAGCGGATGAGTGACTCGGGAAAGAAAATATTTAAAGTGTGTCTATGGGCGTGAAATATTTGTCTTAGAGTAGGGAACTTGAAGAAAGGGTAACACGACCTCCCTAAAGTAATAAGGAAATAAGGAAAGGAATACGACACCCTAAAATAAGGAAGATGCAGTAAGAATCCCCCTCCTCCTTGAAGTAAACAGTGTGACATAATCCTCTGGCAAGAAATTAACAACACCTAATGGCTACCTGTGGGAACCTTCTCAGCTGCTACAGGTAACCCGACCATGCTTGCCACCATCATCTGTTGAAGTCGAGTAGGGATAATATTTCTTTCTTATTATCATGACACAAGGACAATGACCGTGTGAGCAAGAGACTGCTTAATACATCTCGGCTTGTTTTCCTCTCCCTTCTCGTCAGCCAACAATCTTCTCAACCAACAATTACGTCATCCAACAACCTCGTCAACCAACAATATCGTCAGCCAACAATATCGTCAGCATGTATAAACTCGAGACCGCTTTACCTATTCGAGCAGTGAAATTGGCCGTCTTAGTCAGCCAACAACTCGTGACAACATCAAGGGGTCGAAGCAATCACCGGTAGCACTAGAGGCTTGTCTTGTGTAGTTGCCTTTACACTATTACCAAATGTGTGTGTGTGTGTGTGTGTGTGTGTGTGTGTGTGTGTGTGTGTGTGTGTGTGTAACTATACATAACTTGTTTTAAAAGATAAAATATAAAAATAATTTGAAAAGAAAAAGAGTAAAATGTAGAGAGAGTTAAGACGCGTTGAGTAGATTTCCAGGTGGCTCAGCTGCTCGTTGATTAAGGCGTGGGAGGCTGACACCTGGCCTAGACGGAGGGCTTAATAATGCGACCACCGACCCTTAGTGACTCACTCTGCCTCTTGACAAGTGAGTAGTGAGAGTGAGTGTGCCTCTGACAGTGACTGCATACTAACTATTCCTGGCCAAGAAAGAAATATAAAAGAAAGAAGAGAGAGAGAGAGAGAGAGAGAGAGAAGGGTATACTCACCTGTTTATCATTTAGAAATATGTCCAGCTTTTACCTGTAATCCTCGTCGACTGGGAACAAAAACCCACCATGACCATCTATCATGACACAGAACCAAGTCGCCTCCCTCTCCCTATACACAGAGAGACGGTGATAAATGAATAGAACTAAGAGATGTGGTCCCCGGAGAGATAAGAGACAAAATTAGGAAGAATGGGTAGAGACAATACCTCCCTGAGAGATAAGAGACAAGATATGGGAGGAATGGTAGAGACAGCTAGACAAAGTGTGGAGAAGAAAGCCTTAGTTACCCACCGTGAAGCATGAGAAATGACCTAACAATATATAAACTGTAGAGGAGAAAATGGATGTTTAATCTTCACTACTTACAGAATTCCAGTTATATTATCATTATTTATCTTATGCCATATAGTGCACTTTAATTTGGCACCCATACGAGCGATAATTACAGTATATATTTCTTGATGAAAATAAAGAGTTGTTATTTCTGATGATGATTATTATTACTATTATTATTATTGATTATTATTATCATTAGAAGTAGTAGTAATAATAATAACAACAATAACAGCGGTAGTAGTAATATCTTTTTGTGAAAACTATTATTACCTTTACTCGCCCTGACTGTTTGCAACGAAATCCACAATTATTTGTTTCATATGACCCCTCATACATCTGCTCTGTGTGTGTGTGTGAGAGAGTTTCTGAGAAGCAACTGTTTCTTACGACATCTTAAACTCCCAGACACGAACACAGACGCTAATTTTTAATCTAATATCGGTATAAAAATAAAACTTACTATAATTCTGTTACAAGGTCTGATTTTTTTGTCCCTTCTTTCTGCATCTCCTTCTCTCCGACGATAAATTAATATCTTAAGCCCCTCCAGGCAGAGAAAGTTGGCAGAGCGGAGTAACACCTCGACTTTAAGAGGCTAAAAGAGCGATAAAGCGGCCGGAAAAACACTTCCATTAAGAGTTCTGGTCAGCTCAGCGTCTTAAGCCTTTCCTCTCAAAGGATTTCCTGGTAAACCTGTCTAAGACCAGACCTGCGAGACACTATCATGACTGGTGGCTGCATGGATAGGCGGTGAGACTTTGGTCCACCAACCTGTCAGAGGGAGGAGGAGAGAGAGAGAGAGGGGGGGAGGGGGAGGGATGTTTTGTTACCAGGATCAAGGGTTGAATTTAGGCAAAAGTGGAAGCCAGAAGAGTGAGGTTATCTTGACCTATGTCTAATGGCTGGTGCTGATAAGACCACAATGGCTGATAAAAGTGAGGGTTATATTCTTCTTCTTCAACATATTAGTTTTCGTCTCCATATATTTTCGTTTTTACTATTTTACTTATATTCGTTGATTAAATTAAAGATTAAATATTAAGTTATGGAGAATTAAAGTACGTGAGTTGTATTGTATAAACTTGGTGTTGAGATAATTAACAATGTTGTATGTTATTAGTGAAAAATATTGGATACCTCACTCACTACAATGTATTCACCCCCCCCCCCCTAGAATGTATTATTACCCCCACTGGAATATATCAACCCCCCCTGGAATGTATCAAACCTCCCCCTGGAATATATCAACCCCCCCTGGAATGTATCACCCCCCTCCTGCTCAGTCTCGGGAATGCCACAAGGTCACGGGTGTTGGGTGGTGAAGCGAGTGATCCCTGGAGGACGAGTTGACTAAACTGTATAATTAGTGGCTTGATTGTTCGTGTGTGGCTGAGTTCGATCACTTCACATCATGGTATGCAGACCCACACAACTCTGTCACAAGGCTGAGTGTATGTCGCTCCTCAATTTCATTTCATTTTTCTCTTATTTCTCCTTTTTTATCTGTTTATGATCTTATTATTTACTTTTTCTTACAGGTTTACTTATGTGGTATATTTATAATTAATTTACTTAACTATTTTCTCTACCTGGTTAATTTACCTCATATAAAACTACACGAGATTTACCTGATCACAAGGAAAGAATTAATTTATTACTAATTCTAATGAGGCAAAAATAACAATGATTAAGAGTTATGAAAAATAAATTGAACATAAAGGTTCTTGTTTCTTACTCAGAAAATAAGTTCAATAACAAGACTTCCTAATCTCTTCAACCTACGGCCCGGAGGTTTAATGTGGCCTGGTTTATTTTTGTTTTTATCTTTTAACGATAATACATAGGTTATTTATTCTGATATTGAAATTTGTATCATTCTATTCCCTCATTAACTACGTGTATATACGTCTCTTGTTGCAGCGATGTATGTAGTTAATAAGGTAAAAACCACGTATATACTAGTATAATTACCCATGTGTGTGTGTGTGTGTGTGTGTGTGTGTGTGTGTGTGTGTGTGTGTGTGTGGGTGTGTGTGTGTGTGTGTGTGTGCTGATCCTTGTCTTGGTCTTTGATACTACAACGTGTCTCTCTCTCTCTCTCTCGGATGATATATATTCACAGTATCGTTTCCCTCCTCGTTTAAACTGTATATCGTTTAATACTGTTCAAAGTTCCTTATATCTACTTTCGAGGGTGAAATAAATAACCTTAATTGCACTATGATTTAACGATTTGATGATGACGGTTTAGCGTTCATTCTCCTCCTCCTCTTCCTCCCCTTCCTTCCCTCTAACCTCCTCCTCTTCTTCCCATTCATTCTCCTCCCCTCCTCCTCTTCCTCCTCCTCCCCCTTCATTCTCCCCTCTCCTCTTGATTTTCCTCCTTCCTCTTCACCCCTTCCTTCTCCTCCTAATCTTTCTCCTCCATTTTCATCCTCTCCTTCTCCTTCGCCTTTCTCCTCTTCTTCCTTCTTCCTCTTCACCTCATCATCATCATCATCTTCTTCCCCCTTTCGCTTTACCTCCTCCTCCTCCTCCTCCTCTTCCTTCTCTTCCTCCTACTCTTCCTCCTCCTCCTCCTCCTCTTCCTTCTCTTCCTCCTACTCTTCCTACTCCTCCTCCTAGTATCGGTGTTGTCCTCTCTTACATAAAACCTCGACTAAGCTGCTTCATTTAAAACACCGATGCCGGAATTAATTTTGGCTCTTCAGAATCTTCGCTTCCCGATAATCCAGTAATTTCCTCGAATTTACGGACGACGCATCGGCAAATTGATAGGAAATTTATGTGGGACAATCCAGGGTTCGTGTTTTAGGGGAAGATTGACGAGTATGACGTGTTCTAGTGAGGACCTGTTACTCGATTACAACCATGACGTGTTATAGAGAGGTTGTGTGACTGGCAGACTATCATGACGTGTTATATTAAGGACGTGTTACTGGCAGACGATCATCATGTGTTAGAGTGAAGACGTGTTACTCTCTCACCAAATTAGATACAAACAGTCACTCGCTACAGCACAATATACAACAGACTGTAAACACACACACATGTATTAAGGTAAACAGAGGTGAAAAATCTGGCAATGTATTTAGATCACAGTATATGTCTTAATTTATTGTAATATTTAATAACAAAAATATTAGAAAATTAGGTTCTATGCATTTATTTTTCAGTAAAGATTAATACAACACATATGTGAAAAGTTACATGTTATATGTAAAGAACATGATCCTTATCTTATGTGTTTTTTTAGTGTATGTATGTATGTATGAATGTATGTATGTATGTATGTATGTTCGAGGTTATAAGGTAAGGCTTCTGGAACACAAGTAAAAATATTAGCTTGGTGTGGTAGTGTGGCAGAAGGCACAGTAAAAGTTATCATCCAGCAACACCGACAACCTAGAGGGAATTGTCCACAATATCAACCAACCACTAACTTCTCCCGTGAAAGAAATCAGCCAAATCGCTATCCATATATTTCCTGACACAGCCAAAAAAAACTTGCCAAATACCACCCCAGTGAGAGACAACTTGCAGAAGAATGTAGCTACGGGGAGGAAGTGGCGGGTCTGGGAGGAGGACAATATACGGTGGCTTTGGAGTGGTCTGGAATGACTCTGGAACGAGTCTGGGGGTGTTCTGGAACAGTTCTGGGGTGCTCTGGAACGACTGTGGAACGGCTCAGTATATCACTCAGACGGCTGAGCCTGGAGGACGCCCACTCCTCAACACAGTCTTTATCTTGGAGCCTCGTATATTTCTGGACGGGAATTGGTACTGTGTGTCCGCGATGTTTATGCCACTCCTGGTGAGGTTGAATTAGTACCCCCTGCCTCGCCAGCACCTGTAATAACACTCCTCTACAACCAGGGGTGATATTACATGTACCTCCTCCTCACGCTGAGTTTGTTTATGCTCTCTCGTTATTTTTAGCGCGAGGATTTTAAACCGCTTTGAATGTAAAGGTTATATGTTCTGTCATAATATATATATATATATATATATATATATATATATATATATATATATATATATATATATATATATATATATATATATATATATATATATATATATATATATACTGTATATTATGACAGCAGATAACCTTTACATTAAAAGCGGTTATAAAGTGAGTCACTTCATGAGATGAAACATAATATACTGTACACCAAATGCATTTGACAGTCAGTTTCCTTTTGTTTCCCGAGTAGAATGGAGTCT